CTCTACACATTCATGTGCCTATTTATTCGTTTGTTATATTTTTTGCATGTGCATGTAATGCCGATTTTAGCATTTGCGTGCCCGCGTCCTCTTCTCCCAACTCCCGCGCGGTGGCTGCAATCGGATATTCAATCGGACTGCAATCGGACTTAAGAGGCGCCTTTCGGACAATTTATTTGCCTGTTATTGTCATATTTTAGAGGCGGAGCTCCTCTTAGTCTAACCTTACCCTGCTTTTGGCGTAACTGAGAGAAGAAGAGACGAGAAATAAATGAAGGCAGTATCTCCCGAACAGTATAATGGACGGCACTGTCTCATAGAAGTATATATATATATATATATATATATATATATATATATATATATATATATATATATATATATATATATATATATATATATATATATATATAAACTACAGTTGAGTGAGGTTATTCTAGATGGTGCTGTACCGCAACTATCCGATTGGATGCTGCGCGGGTTGTGCCTGGGTGCACGAGGAAGGAGTGCCTGTCTGTCTCCTGGATCGTCGCCGTACTTGGCGAACTGTCGGTGGAGCATGGACGAAGCAGAGCGGCAGGCGCAAAACGCCGCAGCGGCTAGTGCTCGTCGCCAGACAGACACACAGACATACGGATGGATGGATTCGCGGACGTACAAACACACAAACACACAGACAGACTGACAGAGACGGGCGGGTGGGCGGACGCTTCGCCCCACTCATCATCATTCACTCCGTGATATGCTGTGATTTTTCACTTACTACTAGGCTCTAGTAGTGTTCAATCGACCATTTGCCAATTCTCTGAACGTTTCGGCCTTCATCGCGATAGAGCGGGGATGCATCCAGCCAAGCATTCACGAGATTCTATCGCATCCTGCCGCTGACTGATAGCTGCACCAGCGATACGGATAGATATGTGCCACTCGACGCCACTCACTTGTAACGGCACGGAAGTCCTGTAGGCCCTGGCGTAACACTGCTCTGCGATGGTCCGCGTTTCGTCACTGCTCCCCAGTCGGGCACGCTGACCCATTGCGCTGATTTAAGTGGCCTATGCGGAAGCGTAGACGCGCTTTTTCTAGCTCCATTGTGCAAGCCGTGCACCGTCGCGCATAGTTGTTACTTCACACGCACGCATTCTTGGCCTGAGTCACATGTGTTTTACCGCGAACACGGAGAAGCGCACACGTGCGAACGCTGGCTGGTGGCCATACTAATAGGGCTTACGCCAGACATGTATCAAAGTGAACTGCGTATTGTAATTCAAGTCCGCTGTTTAGTGTGTGTGGTTTTCTTGCCGCTTGTCGGGGCCAGCAAGTCTTGTGCAGATAGCAGTAGCGGTTTGTTTCAAGTGTTATGTTTACACTACCCCTTTGAGAAATCGTTTTTTCCGCACCGTTAAAGTATTCTCTTTTTTATATTGGCGCTCGGTATAGTTAAATCACCGAACATAAATCTCCAAGAACGGAAATTAAGATAAAAATCAGTCAGAATTCCATGACTGGCACATGTTTTGCATTACATGTACACTTTTCTGCTGCACCTTGGCGTTGATCAAAATGGTGCATGAAGAAAGCACTGCCAATTCTATAGTGCACAACACTACTGCCAGGCATATGTCCGCCATTTCTGACGATTCCATGACATGGTCTCTGACGACATAATCTCTGGATGAAAAGGGCTTTTGTCGTTAAGGGAGCCCTGAGGTATCCGCCATTGACCGCATACATAATTGCCGGGTTTTTTTTTTTTTTTTTTTTGCTCTTCCGATGAGCTCAGTGCAATGCTGCAACGCTGCGCGGTGAACTTAGCGCCGCGTTAAAACGTTACAACTCACAAAATAACGATGCTGCCGCACTGCACGGAGGACGTCTAGTACTTAACAGCCACAAGCCGCTCGCGGCACGTAGCTTAAGCCGAAGAACTCGGTGTAGCATTATTGCTGGGCGGCCGCACTGCTTATGCCAACTGTGCGTGGATGTAGGAATCGATGATGGGTCGCCATGGACAAAAGTGTTTCGAGCCGGTTGCGTTGTCAGGATTAGCCATTAGCCTTGAAATTAGGAAGCTCCGAGCGCCCACCGCCTAGCGCTCATGGTCAAGGCCACTGAGAAGCCGAGGCCAGGAGGAAGCAGGATAAAAAGAAAGAAACAAAAAGAGGATCCCAAATGGAGTTCCATGCGCCTGCCAACCGCAGGAATAAATCGGGGTCGCAGGCTCGTCGTGCCATCTCTCGGCCGTCGACGGCGTTACGCACTTGCGGTCGGCGGAGCGATACACGCGCTGCACTCGTACAGGCGTGCCCTTCCACTTCCTCGCGCTCTTCTCGTCTTTGGGCGAGAAAGAAAGCGCACGTGTCGGGGATCGCCCATGTGGCAGGCGTCTCGCCCTCTCTCCGTCGCCCCGCACGCTATCTTGACGCGCTCTCTCCACCTCTGCCGTCCTACGGGGTCACCTTTCCGCGCTATCCGCCCGAGATAGCGTTGCCGATCGCTTCCAGGTTGCTTGACAGCGGTTGTCTAGGCAAAGGCTAAAACAAACTCACCCGCTCTTTTTTTCTTTGTTCGGTTAGTTCTTTTTGCCATGCTCCAGCGCCACGTTTTCTCTTCTGAGTGATTTCGGATAGAATCGTGTACGAAAATCAATAATGAAATGGCGTGAACAGTGGCAGGGGGCTGCCAATACCAGACATTTATTTTTTATCTTCGCTGCTCCAATCCATTACAAAAAATAGATAAGATTAATAAAACTCGGTTCGGTTTCCTCAGGATCTAGGGCTTGGTAGCAATGTCGCGTAATGGCATTGTGCGTGCGTGTGTGTGTGCATGTGTGTGTGTACATGTGTGTGCATGTGTGTGCGTGTGCGTGTATGTGTGTTTAATCTATACGTATCGACAAACGTTAAAAGAACGCTAAAATCCCATGCGTTTTTTTTTCTAACCATTAAACTACCTCACGATTAGTGCAGTCGCTATTCAAAGTAGTATACCTGTTTCAGTGACTCACCAGGCTGTCTCTTTGGCGGCTCGTTCCATTCACTTGTTCCACACGTACTGTACACTGCCTCTATAATATTCTGTGCGTCGGATGTTAATGCTGCGTGTATTGCTTGTCTACGAAACATCTGGGGTGGATCGGAATGAGAAGCAGAATGTACAGGCACAATCCTTAGCAATCTTATTAATGCACCACCAACATACACAATGCGCATCGCTATACTACTGGACATCTCACCTATTCGATAGCAAACGTAATTTGTTTGTTACGTTCAGGGTTGCAGACAAAAACACCTTCAAGTATGTTCTTTTTCTTTGTGTCTTGCGCATATATATATATATATATATATATATATATATATATATATATATATATATATATATATATATATATATATATAGTGGGAGTAATAATTAAATGGGCCAGTTAGTCTTCGTGAAGGTATGGGATATGGCACAACGGGAGCGTTGTCAACAAGGATAAATATATTTATTTCCCAACAGTTTCGGGAGGGGTCCTCCCTTCATCAGGGGATGAGTTATCCCCTGGTGAAGGGAGGACCCCTCCCGAAACTGTTGGAAAATGAATATATTTATCCTTGTTGACAACGCTCCCGTTGTGCCATATCCCATTCCTATATATATATATATATATATATATATATATATATATAATACACGTTTTCATTTGGTGGGCCAGCCTTCGTCAGAGAAGGCTGGTGGTCCACCAGCTCCCCGTTACTCTGACGAAGGCTGGAAACGTTAAGACGCTTTCGCGCCAGCTTCGTCGTCCCTTCCTTGCATACAATGAATGCGTCAGGTCCAGCGTGAATGACGTTAAAATAATGTAATATATCTCGCTACCTCTATGGCGATGAATGCATGGAAACAAATTGGGACCAACGTTTCCATCTGTCATTCCTTTCTCTGAGATGGAGGCGTAATAAATGTTAATGAATACGCGTTTACTCTCATTTCTCCATCGCTATGTCCCAGCTGTATGTCCGCACAGCTGGTAGTCCTGTTTTCAAGGACATCATGGCTATCATTTCGCTTGCCTTGTCAACCAAACGTGTCACAAGTACATCAATACTTGAACCAAACAGTGTTCTGATAAGAGCTTTTGGTGCAAAAATTCTGCACTCTGGCGAATTTAGTCAGCCCGATCGATACGATCGCTCCAACAAAACCCAGTTTACTGTGCCTCAGCGGTCCTTTGCTGATGATCGTGCAGATTCGATGCGACTGTGGCGGCATAAGTCGCAATACAGTGAATGAGGAATGTAAGGACCTTGGTGTGCTTAGACATATGTACTCGTTGAGGAACGCCGGAAGGTGGTAATTTACCAGAAATTTACACTGACACTGCGGTCTCGTAGTAGATTTGTAGTTTTGGGATGGTGGTAAAAAATTATATACTTTGTTATTTGATTCTGCTCTTAGTTGATCGATTGCTTTGTGGGGTTTGACGTCCCATAGTGACTTAAGCTATCAGAGACGGCGTAGTCAAGGGCTAAAAGTAGTGTCGACCACAAGAGTCGGAACTATCTGGGGACCTTCACTGCAGCTTTTCTCACACATGTGTGCCTCTCTTTCTGGGCACATTAAATTGCTGTTTATTCACTTCTAACGCCTTCAGCGTGAAACTTCGTTCGCCTTCATGTCGCTGTGTTCTGGCGCCTGAAGGCACACGGTACCATGCCAGCAAGCATAACGCTCATAGTTATAGGGAAAGTTTGTTTATTGCTTGGAGATGGATGTACAGATGTATCGTCATGATGCTCACCTGTCTCAGAACTTATTACGGCAGTGCCCTGATTTACCTCTCTGATAAACTCGCGCGTTTTTACATGCCCTTCAAGTGTCCTTCAAAGAGCACGCTTTTGAACGGAGAACTGATTTCGACTTTCGAGCTGCATTTCTACACTGTAGACATTGGTCTATTTATGCTTTTTTTGTTTATAACTATTTATGCTTTCTTGATCTTTTTATTCTTGCAGTCTGTAACGAACACATTTTGGAGTCGCTGATGCACACGCGGAGGTGACGGCCCAGCGATGGGACAGCAGCCCCCCCCCCCCCCCCCTCAGCTCTGTGGATTACATCGACAGCAGATGACGACGCTGCTTCGCGGCGGATAATGTGCGTGAATGCCAGTGCGCGTGTGTTTGTGTCACAGTGTTTGTTATGAGTGAGCCGCAGTCCTGCGAGTGAGTGTGATGCGGTGGCGACTGCTGCCTATGACTGGTCTGTCGTGTTCGTGCTTCGCGATGCAAGTGACCTGCTACAAGAAGAGAATCGTGAAGTGTGCCGTGTGATCAGTGGTGCACCTTTGAAATCTTGCCACCTTTTGGATATGTGAATTAGCTGGCCTCGCCTCCCTCTGGAGCGAAGTCAGCTGCAAACAGGTGCTCTGGTATAAGTTCAGGAGGCATAAAATGTATGGGAAAACTGAAAGTGGGTGCACTATACGTGGGCCCCTGTGCTGCACAGAGCAGTGCCTTCGGTGGCCGTCGCAGCCGTCGTCCATCAACGGACGCTCATGCCGTCGCCACATTTTCTCACTTTCCCCACAATTGTCAAAAAATACATTCGCCGGTACAGTAAAAGAAAGGTAAGATGGTCGGGAGAGCGTGTAATTCGCACTGAAGTGAGTCCTATATTCGGCACGTATACAACGACACTTTGCTAACGACACTTTGCTACAAGTTTCGCAACGTATATTCCGGTTCTGCCTTGCTGCTTTGGGTTTCGGCCACGGCTCCTCGTAGTCGTCCGACCGTTGGTCAGCTTATTCGAACCGTCGCAGCGCGCGGTAAGGCGAAGCGATCGCACGGTGACCGTTTCACTTTGCCGTTCGCTGATACAATCATCCTCAGCTTGTGTGCTTCTATGATACTCGGCATTTGTTCGTGTATCTGCTTTTTCTTTTCTCTTTTTTTTAACAGTTTGTTAAACCAAAGTTTTGGTGTAAGCTCTCGAGACAACAAGTGCTGCCATTATACGGTGTAATTTTTCGCGAATTTCATTGAAAACGAAGAAAAAGAAGTCGATTTGGCATGATGGAAAACTTAATTAATTACATAGCCCCCCCTCCTTTTATGTCAATGTATGGAGTGGTAGACCTTGCGCCCCCACCCCCGACTACCTCCCCACCCCCGTGTGCACTCCTATAATGAATTACGAAGCGTCCGATGTCATTTGCCAGCGGAGTGGTGTCGGCCCGTGGCGTCGCTGTTACGCGTTGAAAAGTACCAGCGAGAAAATATATACATGTCATTTTGCGCTGGCAGGCTTTGTTAACCTCAGAATAAATTACGGAAAAAACTGGGATCTAGGGAGTTGGTCGGAGTCGCTATTCGGACCTGTGTGCGTACTTTGAATGGAACACTTACGCATGGTGACCATCTTATCTTTACAGTACCGCGCACAGTCTTGATGCTTGCGCATACAAATGGAAGACTGGGGCGTTGCATTGAGAGGCACTCCTCTTAGATACAACAGGCCACCTGATTCAACATCTGCCATATTGTATATATATTTCTCGCGAAAGAAAAACAAACGTGTTTGTGCGGGAGACGGAGAATGTAAGCAATAATAAGGATTGGACGACCAGCGCGAGCAGATAGATCTACATAAGTACATTTTCTTTACGCGTATTCCTGTTCGTTCTACTGTTCGCCGATGTGGGAATGTTGATATGCACGACCCCCCAACGCTCGGCTGCCCGCTTTTTGCATTAATGGACAGGGCGGCGAGTGCGTTGTAGCACTCACTTCACGTTGCAGCGCGTATAGCCGCAAAGCGTGTGCACGCGTGTTTCTCCAGTGTACCGAGAGTGAATTTTAGGATCACTAGCTCATACGCTCCCAAATATTCTCGTCTTTTGTTTTGTTAAACCCGCGTTTTCGGCACATGATTTCGCACAAACGCCTAACCTAGAAAACACCAGACGACGAGCTGTAACGTTGGAGTCTGACGCGTGAATTGATTAAGTTGTGGAGCTTTACATCCTGCCAAAGCAACGATATGAATACCAAGTAGAATAGAAAAAATAGGTGGCATGTTTCCGTTGTATTCGGGGGCTCGAGGTTGATTCTGACCGCCTTTGCTTCTTCAACGTGCACTGTTGTGTGTGTGTGTGTGTGTGTGTGTGTGTGTGTGTGTGTGTGTGTGTGTGTGTGTGTGTGTGTGTGTGTGTGTGTGTGTGTGTGTGTGTGTGTGTGTGTGTTGTCACTAGTCCCGTTAATTAAGGAGGTAATCGCTGGGCTAATTCCAAGGGCCGACATATGAGCCCCTGGAACTGCACCACAAAGAAAAAGAACGGACAATTTAGATTTGGTCCTATTTGGCACGCCAGCAAACGCCGGCTCTGGTCCAAAGAACGAGTCAGAGCCGAGAGTTGATAACAAAACAAAAATATATTCCAAAATACGGCTGAACAAACTACACACAAATATGCGCACTCGGCAATAGTCAAATACAATACGTCACCTATCAAACAACGGGCCACACAATACAACCAGATACACTCAAAACAACTGACACCGACAACAACACGCGCTACAATACAGTCTCATGCATTAACAACCAAGACACTTTTAGAGTAAATTGTCCGAATTCAGTCCGAAGTTCTTGGAAGAAAACTTGAATGCTTCTCTTCAAGGAAACACACCCTCAAAGTTGGGCGCTGGTTGTCGCCCCGCTGAGGTTTCTCTTCCAGGACACTCTCGTGACGTCAAATGTCCGCACTTGAGTACTTCTTGGCCGGTAACACATCGGCAACTCTCGCGCTGCGACTGCAGAACGCGTCTTCGCCCACTGGCGATAAACACCCACTCTTCTCCTGCTTGTAACACAAGCCTTCAGCCGCAGGTGGGAAACCCCCTCATCTCATGTGCTTGGTCACTGTAGAACAAGCACTTCGCCTGACGGCGGGAAACTCTTCATCGTCTCCTTCCCTACGCACAGTGGCACAAACTCTCTTCATCTCCTGATCACCACAATCAGCTGCTCGCTTATATACGTTCGCCCTCGGTTAAGGGGCTAGTTTTCTTTCTTTTTTTTTTCGAGAACTGTTCTCGACCCTTGACGCAACTCACGTTTTCCTTTTCGAAGATTCTGGTGTTCGCTCGGCGATAGGTGTGAGGAGGTTGGTCAGCGTAGCCAAAGCGATGGCGCTTTTCGAGGGGGAGAGGCAGCGTGCGCCCGAGGGGTCCTTTGATCCTTGTTTTCTTCTTTTACGCGGGCTTTTGGCGCGGCTGAACGGTGCCTGGTTAGAATTCGTTGGTGCGCGCTTTTTGAGCGCTCGTGTGCGTGTTGGGGGGGGGGGGGGGGGGGGCTAGTGTGTTTAACGCTCCCTTCAGCGTGACCTTGAGTCTCGCAAGTCCGATGAGCCGTCATCTCGCCTGTAGATGTACGAACTGGATAAATGACCGTGAAAGTTCTGGCTATTCATTAGTATTACGTATAACGAACAACCCTTTCTCAAAAGAGTTCCCTCTTGATTTACCATCCTCGAGAGGTAGCTTTATATAAAAATATTTATAATAAAGAGGTCATCGAGTGATTTCGCTTGCTGTCCTTTCACGGAATGGGAAACTAGCGCAGTGTACATGAAACATTACTAGACGTATTCAGTGTTAAGTTTCCTGAGAAAGAATCGGATGCATTGCTTCTTTTTTGTGTAAATAGCAGTATGCCGCCCCACGTGCTGTTCACTCCTGCGTTCCTCGATTGACCTTCGCGTGGGACCGCTGTGTTTTAAAAGGTTTTCCGTTGAGCGGCTTGTCCACCTTGGCTGGCTCCCAGGGTCGCTATTTTGTGGCCATGCATTTTTCCGATGCTAATGCCTTTTCACACTTGACCGACGTTACTGGATCAGGAGGCCGTGAGTGGTGGATGAGACCAGAATCGGGCATTGAACAATTCATCATAAACCCCTGGCTATAATTCCTTAGTTTGTTTAAAAGAAAGCGCTTCATTAAGATTTTTTCGTTTCAATATTTGTCGATAAAAACTGTTAAGAAAGATCTTTCTAATGGAGAAAACAAGTGTCTGAGCTCTCTCTCCTTTTTTTTTTTGTTGATGTCCTTTTTCTCTAAAATAGAGAGGGATTGATATTTCATTTTTCATCGATCTTTTCGTGATTTCATCAAACAAAGTTCAGAAATCGTTTTTTTTATGCTGTCGGCGAGATGAAAACTCGTGGAAATTTTAAGCTCTTTTTTCTTTCGATGTTTCTATTGTTGTGAAAACCTTAAGTGCTTCCGCCAGCTGCCATTTTTTACGGCCACCATGCCCTTTGCCAGCGCATGTGAGCAAATGGTCAACTCTCGGCGTTCGTCCCCTTACCTAAATGCGGCTACACCTGTCCCCCGGTCCACCATGGTAGATCATTGTTAGGGTGTTCGACCACTCATCTGAAGGTCGCTGGTTCGATCCATCATGCCGCCGTCGCGTTTCAGTGGAGGCGAAATGGTGGAGGCCCGTGCAGTGTGCGATGCGAGTGCACGCTAGAGAACACCAGATGGTCGAAATTTCCGCAGCCCGCCACTACCAGCAACCCGGATATTCATATCGTGGTTTTGGGACGTAAAACGTATTATTACTACAATCCCCCTTGCTTGCCTAATTTCTTTACGCCCATTTATGATACACTATATAAGACAAGAAACGCTTTGTGGAAGCACATGCGCTGAATCGTAACGCGGACGTATCGCTTTCGTCATCGTCGACGAATTCCGTGGACGTACAGCTGAAAATGGCCCTTTTTCGCAGTATACGACCAAGCTGCGCTCTCTGGCTGCGCGAATACATCGGAGCAAGAAAGTAAAAGACAGGCGCGATAGACACGTTGCTGCGAGTGTGGCTCGTGCACGTGAAATCGTGGCGTCATCGGCTGATATCTGCAGCCCTCTCAATTCCTGCTCATCCTGTACTTAGAAGATCATTTCAAACCTAGCACTGACGTCCTCCGCTATACGCACGAGCACGCGCCATTACACTTGAGCATTCTGGTACTTGGACACTCGCATAACTGTCTGAAAAATAATTAATGTGGTGCATTCTTGTTTTTCTATTTAATTTTGTGTAGAATTTGCGCATATCATGTACCTTATTATAATGCAGGTGTCTCAATTCTTTCAAGGTATGCATAATTCTGTACGCTTATTCGCAAATTTTCGCTTGTTTTACTTGTGTTCATAACAACGGTTTTCTATTCATAAATGTTTTTTTTTTCTGTAGAGAGCTTTTACGAATGTTCAATTATTTCTTCTCGCTATTTTCTTTTCCTTTTTCGCTATAGACCTGCACTTATTTTTTTTCACTGTGTTTAATTGGTGTAATTATGCTTTGGGTTGGTGTATATATTGTATTTTCACATAATATTTTTCGTATGCATTCATGCTTTACATAGTTGTGTTTTACATATATTTATATGTAATTACTCAGTTTTGTGCATTATTGTGGCCAGGGCAGGGGTCGGTGCTCTGTCAGGCACTCCGTTGCTTTTTCATCACTCCTTCCCATTCAACCACTTGATAAATATGAAAAAAAAAACCTCACATGCGCATCCTGGGCAGGGACACACTCATGTACCCAGAGAGAGAAGAAAACGTGAA